CAGGCTGGTTGGAAATGCTGGATGTGCAGGTAAGGACATTGGTGACATTTGGATCGATGTGCAGGCGCAAGAAGGGGAGGGCATCTTGGGGGTGCAAAGCTTGTATTGGGGAAAACTGGCATAAGTCTCAGTTCTGAGTGCACTCTGTTGTACCATTTTATTCAATAAGGGTAACTAGTGGCACTACCTGCAGCAGGGAGTGGGTAGCGAGCAGCCGCGGGGGTCCTTATTGGCTTGGGCGATGGCTTTGCTTGGATGGGTGTTTGGAGAGGAGGATTCACAGCTGCGCTTGGCCAAGCCCATGGGCAGGATCGTTTGTCCTGCACTTTGCTGCCCCTTTCCTGCGGTTATGAGGGCCGACGTTCGTTTCCTGCGCAATGCATTTTTTGCCACTTCTAGCAACTTCTCGTCATTTCCTGCGCCTTAACAATTCCAAACTTCCTCCGTCGACTCCTTGATGAAGGTTGCAAACTGCATCGGTATCCATCGCCTCCGTTTGTATCTTTTGGGGTCCTATACACGGGATATTAAATCACTGTATTCATGATGCATGCGTGCTCGGCAATTGTGGAAGGACGCAATTTTGTTGGTGAAACCATACAGTGGCGCATACGGCCCATTCGCCCACAACTCCGGCTGAATGCCATGCAGCGTTTGGCGACATGCATGCCATTGCCGCATACTCGACTGCCCAATCAAGTTATCTGTGACATGTCATGTCACTGTCATGGACAGTAAAAATCCCGCCATCCTACTTTAGTCACCACAGGGGATTGGGCGTGTTGTTGCAATCGCCCCGCACACTCCAGAAAGCAGCAAACCCAAAACATTGTGTCCATGTGGCACGTCAGACGCGACACCAGACAGCACTGGTGGCGCCGAGGATTGCCCTTGCTTGGAGGCGAGCACCCATTGGGCTCGCGTCAGGCCTCGCCAGTGGACAGTTCGCTGCCAAGGTAACGATCCCGGGTGCGGGCTGCATCGTTCAAGCCTGCTGCCAAAACAGGCGATCGCGGATTAAACTGTTGGCCCATTTGCAGCCTTGCCCTTATTCCCCAACCGTCCGCATTGTTCCGACAGCGTGTTCTTGTAAGACCCAGGCACCAACGGCGGCACTAAAATCGAGCGATCGGGCAGCTGCCCGCCGATTCAGGGTGCAATCGCACACCTGGGCGTCTATCTAACTTCGCGACCTTCCATAAAATGACCTCGCAGCGAACATCGGCATCCCAACCAACAGCCTCTCCTCCCCCCGCATCTGTCGCGCCCCCAGATATACCAAATGCTTGGACTGCTTTCTTGGATTCTTAGTATCCTAAGAGTTCATGGGTCCAGCTGCGGGCGCCGATAGCGGCCGCCATGGGAAGAGTCGCCCGTGCCTTGGAGCCATCGCGCTGGGCGGGAGCGCACTCGAACCAAAGCTTGAGCTGTCTGATGTGTCAGGTGCGCATCACATCTCGGTCGATATCGGAACGCCCGTCACCCTGACTTGAAGAGAAGAACAGCAACTTGGCCTGGAGCACATCAAAAGCGCCGTTGGCTCACAACCGTGCAGCTGAGGAATTGCCACCGAACATGCAAAGTGATGGGCAAAAGTTTTCAGCCGTTTTGTTTGGTACAAATGAGAAGATGCGAATGTTTGCGAACTGTTTCTCTGCTGTGGTCGCCTCACTTTACGTCCTTACCTTTTTTCCCAATGTATCGTCTGCTTCAATGAAGGGCTGAAAGTTCGCTCTGACTCAAAATAACGGAGCTGGATTGAATCAGTCCCCCATCAGAGGGGGGGGAGGGGCGGCGATTGTGCCGAGCTTTCCGTTTTACAGGCAATGGAGTGAAATTACTCGGCTTCATCAGAACAGCCCCTCAGACGGGAGGGTCCCCCTCCCTCTTACAGTTCGAAAGCACGTGTTGCACTTCCCCAAATTAACGCCACGTCTCCCTTGATTTCGTTACATTCCACTTGACTCATTTCACACAAAATTTCCCTTCCTCAGCTGTACATGGACGATGTGCGCTGCCACTATGCATCAGGCTTGCGTCAATCCTCTGACATCGTTGCCAAGCGCAACAGCGGTGACCTGACATTATTTGACTTTGCAGCTCGATGGCAGTCATTGACTTGAGTACTGTATGCTGTTTCTCCCAATATGTTGCAAATATCGAAAGCGAAAATGTCACATTTCATCCGATGTGCAAAAAAGTGGCCGGGAGGGTAAATAACGTAGGAGAATGAAACAATTGTGTGAGCAGCAATACGAGTAGTATGACTAACCATGAGCGTAACTGTCCAGCAGAATCCCGATTTGCAACACGTTCATTTTGTACTCATGCGGCCTTATGAATAGCCATCGCCGTTTGGTGCAAGGGATTCCTGGCTATATTCTGATGAATTTCGTCAATTACCATATTTTTATTTTAAAAACTAATCAATGCTTGGAAATTGTCCATCTTCAACTGATAGTGCGGTTGATGGCGAGACTTGCTGAATACAAATGGGTTGCTTATGTGTGCATTATTGTTCGAATGTTGAGTTTGGATGATCGTTGTCTTCTCATCCAAGATACTTACCCAAGTAGAAGTAGATGAAATGCTTCGTCTCGTGTGTGACGTAAGAACCTGCAACGGGGGGGAGATTCAGGCTGGCGGAATACTGACTTGCGCACTAATGTGGCGGCTCGTTTGCGCTAAATTTGGTGCAAAGTTTGCACTGCAGACACGTTTTCATATGTTAGTGAACTCACTATCAGTGCTCTTTATCTTTCCAATGAGGTTCCAATTCTGATGAACATGTCACATATGATGGATTGGATGTCTACAGTATACTGTACGTAGTACGTACGTACGTACGTATTTTCAGTACGTACTGAAAATCCACGGATTTGTTGATGTCTGTGTGACTGATTGATGGATTGATTATTTGATTGGCAGAAAATCTGCAAGTGTAGGTGTGGACAGGCGAGCGTGCAGAATGTGGTGCGCAATGCACTGAGTTCTGTTCACACGTTCCGTCTGTCATAGTAGGAAAGGATGCAATGTGTGTTCATTGGTCCTGAAGACGGTACATAAAAAGCCGCAAATAGGCGCAGACTTATGCGGCTGAAACTTCGAAACAATCCCACACGTTTGCTTTGCTTCCTTCAAAAGATTTACCGTTCAATGGCACCTCTCACTGGGCGCTTCCCAATGCCCGTGGCAGCCTGAACCATATTGTACAGTCGCGGCGCGCCACCCCTCGAATACTGCCTTGCGCGTTCCCTCTCCGCCGAAAGGAAACATTGACCCCACCCACCGAAGTTCCTGCCCACGACGCAGTGCCACGTGGGGTTGTGCTTCTTGTCGAACTCCTTCTTGATGAAGGCCGCGATGTCCTTCTCTATGTGGTACTTCTCCACAGCCTGCAGGGCCGCGCCCATCCGGTGGGACGTCAATTAAGGGCCACAGCTTCCCGAGCCAAAACGGGCCCCGGGCGCGCCAAGCCGCCCCAAGAGGGAGCGGGGACGCCACTGTTCCAATTTCGCCGAGCGGCAATGGGCCCGTGTTTGGGGCGCGTCAGTAAGCTGAAAGGGAGACTCCGGAACGCGCGAAAGAAAAGAACCAATTTAGAGAGGGAAGGTGGGGGGGGGGGGGAAGTCTACCGTCGTGGCGCAGTCAATGGCGTCAACTTGCATATCCTCCGACATGTCCGCGTTCTTGATGACGGCCTTGCGCTCCGACATGGCTGCGGCGCGCCCGGGGCGGGCTGGGCGGCTGGGCGCGTGGCGCGGGGGGGATGGGGGTGGGGCGAGTGGGAAGGCGACTGCCAGCGCCAGTCATTGGGGACAGATTTGTACATGGAGCGCACCAGGGGCGGCGGGCGCCGCTTCCACCCTTGACGACCCATCTATGGTTCTAATGAGTGGGATTTGGGTGATTGGGAGCGGTCCTGCGGCCTGTGGCCGATAATGACCCCTTTGGCGATCACTGCGGATTGTCATTGAGCAAATCATGGACATTGCTGTGCTTGGGCGAAATGGTGAGCTCATGGCTGCCTCCTGGCGGTGCTGTGTGTTGCACAGCATGCTATGTCTGCAACGTGCTATGTATTACAAGCAAGATCTTGAAGATGATGCTGATGCCGATGCGAAGCTTCGGATTCTCATCCAGCGATTCAATAACCAATCAATTCTGCCTGTCCTGGTGTTGAGGCAGCCTTATGGGGCATTTGTTTCCCCGAGAACACAGTGTCAACGGAAAGTGCAGCACGTGGCATTTGCTTCAGCATTCGTTCTTGCCGATTTTTTACTCGTGATATGCAAATGACGAAGCTTGCACATGACACTGCAATAGCCTCGCCGCATTGTGATGGCTGTCCCACCTGTAACCGCTCAATTCTATCAGATGAATCCAAAGAGTATCCATTTTGAGAAAACAAGGCCACATGTCGAGTCGTTTGCAAAGTGCATGAAACCGAGCAGCACTGTTGAACGGAACATTCCTGCCGCACGCGTTGTTCAGTGTGTTCAGTTTTTTCATATCCTGATGGATGGTTTCGGCGTGGTGTACCTCTTGGATCGTGGGTGCTGTGGTGCCGCCAAATGCCGAGGGGCCGACGTCAGCACTAACTCGGCATCGGCCTTTAAGTTGCCATTGCGCACTTTGTCGGCACCGATCTTCTCGGCACCATTGGCATTGACTGCCAGCTTCTCGCAGCGCATCAATTTTTGACTGGCTGATGAGCTCAGCCTCAACACATCTCTTGATTAAATACAGATTAAACATCACTAACAGCAGAACGTTCACCAGGAACGGTAGGGCCTGCATTTGGGGGGGCTAAGGACAGCGTCCTTCCGTTTGAGGGCATGCTTCATCCTTTTCTGGGCAGGGCTCATTCAGTGCCACACATCTGTATGCAGCGGCGTTCGGCATTGCCAATGTTGTCCACCAGGCTGTCCCCAACGCTGTCTGCAAGGACACATTCGTTCTTCTCTCCCCCCGGGCTCCTTCGATTGCGTGAACTCAAATCACCCTTCACACAAACCTTCCAAATACGTCCTGTTCCGTTCGATGTTCTGTCTCCTCTCCTCCTCGTACTCATTTGCAGAATCGCTCCCTTCGCTCCCGCCATCGGTTGACATGGCGGCGCCGCCAGAAGACGACGTTGAAGAGGAGCTGCCACAGTTGAGGATGGCCCGGCGCTCCAGCGCGAAGCTCTTGCCCGCTGAGTGCCGCCCACAGAATTGCGCCGTCGACCCATCCCTGCAGAAGGACACTACCCAGCCCTTCGACCGGGCACAGAGGGCGTGGAAGGCCTTGCAGCAGTTGCCATAGCGACATTGGCTGCCATTCCAAACCGATGCAGACCTCCGTCAGTTCCATCAGCATCAACTATGCACACAGGCTCAACAGCAACCGATCTCCGTTGGTACGTTGTTCATTTCAATCTGGAACTACGTATGTCTTTTCACATCTGCGCGCAGACATAATTCTGTTCGTTCCTGTTCTCTGCGACGTTTCTGTTTTCTACTCATTTGCGTCTGCTGTATTATTCTGCGTGCAGATTCCGAACAAGCGACTGCGCAACAGTCCCCACCATTTCTGTTGACAAAGCGCGCACCACTAAATGACGGACTGGGCTGATGAGCTGCAACCACATGTGCTGAACCGCTGTACAAAATGCACTGGTGCAGTGGCGAATTCCCTCAGAGGGCGATATAATGGTGCATCCAAATGGTCGAGTGTTTTGGGTAGCAAGACGACTTGTGATGGCAACAAGCAATTTCCAGGCAAAGACAAAGAAAATTTTCGTAGTTCTACATAAAACATACTGCATGGGAGGACATTCAGAAATGTCGATGGACAGTAGCTGGCTTGACTACATCTGTTTTGAGGCATATGGCAGTCTGAAAACCTTATGCTAGCCACTACAAGTCGTTTACACATGGTGCCCACTCAGCACATGAATGACATCGTGCTATGTGCACTGCACACATCGCATGTGTGCCTGCTTCTGCTGCTTGGCTAGTGTGGACAAGAGTGTTGGCTGAAAACATGCACCGAACACCTCACATACGTTTAATTAGCACAAGGCGGTGAAACCACAGCGACAACCCGGTGTCAAAACGGCCGGCTGCACACATATTGGCCAGCCTGGCTGCAAGTGATGCGGTCTGTCTGTCACTCTACACAAGCTGGCTCAGAAAGGCACGGGAGAAGATGGAGCAACAAATACAACTCACATGGCACCTCCCCCAGCCTGCTTGCACATGGTGCACTTCAAGCCTGCTCGAACATGGGTCATCTCGTCCAAAAGGATGCCTGACAAGCGATCAGGCTCAGCGAAATGCACCTCTTCCACCCACAGGGCACACACTATGTGGACGTACAACCTGTCCTGCGGCCTTTGCGGCACTGTCACTTCACCCTGTGAATGCACCTGGTGCATACAGGCACAGGAGCAAATTCTCATCAACTGCATACGGGAAAATATGTCTGGGCACCATCCTCTCCCACATTTGCCACAGCAGGCACATGCCAAAGTGTGAACATGTGTGATGTCAAGACACAGAGATATGCCAGTGTGGGATTCATTGAAACAACAAAGGAAACATGTCATGCAAAGGACATTCCCCTTTGGGCAAACCGATGGCAAGACACCGTACCGTACTCTGCAAGGTGAAGTAGAACTCTCCAAGGAGTATTGAAAAGCACACAACACCATGGACAATGTGAAGCAATACAACATGCACTCCAGAAGAGGGCATCGGTTTGGATGGATTGCAGGAATGGAGGGTTGGTATGTTTCTTTTTTTTTTTTTTGGTGGGGGTTTTGGTGGGGAGGGACTTGAACATTGTCCTTTCAAGAGCACCCTCTGCATGTGAACGACCCTCAGATCCCTCCACAGTGCAAAGGTGTCGACTTAGCACATTTTGACAAAGTTAACCAGAAAGCAGTCTGCCATAGCCTGGGTGTGCTACCAAGAAAAAGGCACACACTTGAGCACCCTTGCCATTGTCTGCCTGCACCTTGAGGATTAGGAATCTTGTTTCCCAACAGCAATGCCAAACGGGCAAGTCTCAGTGTTCAAAGCAAGAAATTTATTCAGCTATGCCTGCTGCAGTTTTTGGAGTGAAACTGCCATGCTGAACATCGGCCATTCCATCCCTTTGGCACCAGGGCTGATGGCAGTTAGCAGTACAGGGGCACGTTCCCACAAAGCACCTTTGTCACAGCTCCCCCAACCACAGGGCACAACACGCAGTTGGCATTTTGAGGGCACAAGCCATCTCTGCAGCCATCACACAGCCACAGGCCCAGCGGTGCATCCTCCAGTCCATGGCATTGTGGATGCACTGCCACTCCACAGCCATCCCCATTGCAGTAGATCATGGAATTGCTGCAGGCCAAAAGAGGTCGCAGGTAAACAGACTGCAAGTGTCCTGGATAATCAAGCATGCTTGCAGTCCATGCAGTGGTTGTAGTGCTGACGATGTGCAAAAGCAATTATTTCAAGAGTCAGAACACAGTACAAACAACAGCTTTGTATTGTTGCTTGATGTCCTGTTCCTACCTGACTCTGCAGATCTCCTGACATGGTTTTCTGTCAAAACAACTGAGCTTGCAAGCACAGGCTCACATAGTGACCAAGAGCAGAATTGAGGTTCCTGCCCATTGTGTTTGCTGCAGTGGCTGAACTTACTGTATAGCAGCATGTTGCTTGACACATTTTCAACTTGATTAAATGTGTACTGCAGCACAATGATCCTTGTGAAACACTACATCCATTACAATGCAACACAAACACCAGCACCAACAAACCCTTTCAACAAATATGAATATCCGCAGCTGTTGACCACAGCACAGCAAAATGGAACCTAAATCCACACTGCATAGTGGTGGGTACAGGGAGAAGTCCTGCTCTTGAATTGAGTACCACAAGGGTGAGATGATCTCGTGTGGCAACATTGTTGAGGTGTTTTGTTGTGTTCCACAGGATCACATAGCTCAGAGGCAATGCTTGTGTTACCCACCTGTCATCAGCAGACTGCCCTTCCCCGCAGATGCTACACAGCACTTTGTTGCCATCCCAATTACAGACCACCTGGTGGGGTCACACACAGGCCATCCTCATGCAACGAATATCTATTGCAGGCTCACAGTGAGGTGACTGCAGAGGCAACAACACAGTATGCTTCACAACTTGTGCAACTCCACATCGCTGTCCAGATTGCGCATTGGCAGTACCTGCCAGCTGTACATAACCCAGAAGCTTGTTCCAGCTTCAGTTGATCAGCAAACACCAACAATTGCTATTGTGAAGAACCCTCGAATGGGCCCATTGACAAACAGGGATGTGATCTATGTTAACCAATGTGTTCAAAGCACTCTCAAGCACTCAGCTGCAGCATCCTATTTGAAAAACAGTCCTGCCCAAACTTTCAAGACACATTGCTTTGTTTTCACATCTCTCTGCCAGCACATCGTGCTGCATTTCAATATAGGCTTGTACGCATTCACCTGCAGCACCACAACCTTGCAGCATTTCTTGTTTCTAATGCAGGGGAATGTCCGCGGTGAGCCACAATGCTGAGCCCTCTTGGATCATGCACATGCACTCTGGGAACAGAAAACACGGACGGCAACGATGCCTGCCAACAAGGACACATTCGAGAGCATCGATTTTGCCTGAGACAAATCCATCAGGGCAGTCCACTTGAGAGTGCAGCTGAACTCACTGGCTTCAAGGCTGGCAATGCCACAGCCTCGTTCTTGCTTCCAACATTGTCCAGGATGACGTAGCCCTTAGCCTTGCTGTTAGGGATGTCATCGTGATCCCTCTCGGCATAAGACACTGACTTCCGCTTGCGCTGTGACCGCCGAATGGGTGGCATTGCCTTTTGCTTGTTTAAGGAGCGCTGAGTGGGCAGCACAGTGGCTGGTGTGCTGACATCCTCAACCTCAGCAGAAGATGCCTCCATTTCCAATGCAGCCGATTCAACCAAGGCTGAGTCCTCTTCTGTTGTCGACTCAGTGGTTGCTGTAGATGCAGCCAACTCATCTCTTGTTTCATTTCTGGGCAGCATGATGAAAGTCAAGGGGTGGACATGTCCATACATTGATACATTGTTTTCTTCGATCCACTACAGGTGCGACACATGAACTGACCTTCATACAAACAATATATGCAACGTGTGACTTGACTATATGTTGTTCCATGCACATTGCGGGGCACATCACTACAGACCCATTCTGGACAGCAGTCCGCAACAAACATCGGAATTGGGGACTGGTCTTCACCCAAGGCCATGGGGTTCAGATAACCCAAGCTGATAAGTCATGCCAACTCAGAGGGGTGGAGCGGTCTCTGAGGGTGACTGGAAGCAACTTCATTGCACCCAAGAGAGGCAAAAAAGCTTGTAAACGCCTTTCAGCTCCAAGGACAACGTTTTGTTGTCCTTCCACAAATGCAGCCAACAAATAGATTGACACACATGGGGATGCCAGCTTGTGACAGAGCCAGCATCGAACAAGTTGGTTGGCTGCCATTGCATCCACCTTTCCCAATGTTCAATCAAACCTGTACAAATGCTGAGACAACAAGCTTCAAGCAGTGCACTTGAGGTTCGCCATTAACTCTACAACTGACAAATTATTGACTCCATCTGCAAAGCAGTGAATCATAAATCACATGCACTACACACAAATAACCTATGGTTTGGCATGTTGAGCTGGATATTTCCTGAGTTCCAGTCCAAAGCTGCCCCTGATACAAGAAGCATAACAAGGAATGATATTGGGTAAAATAGGTAATGAAGGACAGCAATCCGCCTTGCATTGAGCAGCAGAACAAAGGGGAGAAACATCTGTGTGCACCCCAATCTCAAGCCCTCCATGCCATTCAGCACCCCTGCACTATCCTCCATGATCAACAGTACCAATGGAATAGGATGCTGCAATGAACAGTGTTACTGGCCAGGAACGCTTGCCACGCTGTTCATCTCCATCACGAGTTGGAGATACTGGTACAAGGTACAGGCCTCCCCGTGTGCCTGACTGATCTCACAGGAACAACTCCATCGTTGGAATCTACACTCTCCAAATTGCAGCAGACAACGATCGCAATGCTGCATTCGACAAACAGCTCACTTGCTGACACGTTTTGCCTCAGCTTGGCCTCTCTTGGACAAATCAGATGGCCCCACTGTTGTTGCCTCGCTGCTTTTGTGTTCCACAATTGCCTTCCTGCTGCAGCTACCATTGTTTCCTTGGGCATGTCGAATCACATCCACTTTGTCTGCTACTTGGGTGCCACTTCTCTCCGGGTTTGTGCCAATACTGCGGTTCTTCGATCCTTGTTGTTGGCTCTGGCGTTTCTGTTCCGTGCACATGGTCCGTGAGGCACATGGCAACATATGCATCTGCATCCCTGACATGGACTCGGTTCATGCGGACAAACATAAAGGCACGTTCGATTTGCTTTGATTGCTGATCTGCCAGGGACCCCCTGGAGTTCCAAACTTCTCCTTTTGGTTCTCAGGCCCGAGCGTTCTTTGGATTGGAACAAATTTGGAGGCTTTACATAGTCTTGCACTCTCTTACTAGGTAGCACAAGGCCCACACATTTTGTGATAGGACAGGGGAGGCACGTGGACCCTGAAATGTGATGTAATGTTTGGAATCTAAAAGAAAACATCCCCAACTTGAACACCCATCCCTGTGTACAGCCCACCGGAAATGTACTCCCAACTGTCTGCTTCAGTGCCTTGAGCTTGGTGTTGAGATCCAGCAGAAGAAATATCTGGTATTGGAACTCGGCCAACTGGGCATCTGTCATCACCTGCAGACCTCCACACCAATAAGTGAAGAAGAGCAAGTGTATCTTTGCATCATCAAAAGCTCGCCTGTTCGCGAAGCACGCTTGCGCCCACATTCAGCATTCAGCCCTGCCACAAGACAGCCGCAATTGGCTTCTTGCTGGGGTTTCGCACACAGCAAGCCATGGAGGCCCACAGGTGCCAATTGCACAGTCATTCACGATGCATGAGTCCCGCGAGCGCAGTTGGCGAGTGGACGGATGAACAGCACAGCAAGTCCACCTAATGGGCATCTGAGTTGCGCGCCTACAGGCCGACGGCTCACCACGTGGTTCTTAACGTAAGCCAGGTCTTCGGCGTCCAACCAACGGTCGGGCCGCAGGCTCCACTCCATGGTCCTCGACGACGGAACAAGCCACTTGCAAAACGCGCAATGTTGGTGTCGTTGCCCCCAAATGCGTGCCCACGATGCGGTACAGTAGGAGTCCCTATATGGCGCCCCCCCCCCCCCGTGACATGGCCAAAAGGGGGGCGCTATTGGGGGCCAGGGGCGCTATTCTGTCAATGGAACACCGGTGTAAAGGGTACCCTGGCCGCCAGTGTAGGGAGTACCCTAAACTGCCAGTGTAAGGGGTATCATAGCCGCCGGTGTAGGGGGTACCCTGGCTGGCAGTATAGGGTGTACTCTGGCCGCCGGTAGGGGGTACCGTAACTGCCGGTGTACTGGGTACCTTGACCGTCAGTGGCGGGGGGTACGCTACCCCCAGCCTACTGGGTCTATACCGGCTTTGGGGGCTAGCGACTGTCGCAGCGCTGGGGCCTGTCGCAGTGACACAAAGCACTACGGGAACGGTGACGAGCCGTAAAGGGAGTCGCTAAACTTAGACAGGTCGCTAAATAGGGGTCGCTAAGCCAGACCCCTGTACTAGTTTGAGGTCCCACTGCGCAACAACGCTGCATAAAGTACTACATAAATGGTGACATGCCAAAAAAGGGGGCGCTATTGGGGGCCGGGGGCGCTATTGGGGGGGCGCTATATAGGGACCCCTACTGTACTTGATGTACACCCGTACCCACGCGAGGGGAGTTGGTAACTCCGCCTCTGTCACCGTGCACGCGGTCAGGGTACATGCGATGCTCCCTGCCTCCCAGCCGGCCGTGCCCGCGGCGGCCGCGCGGCGCATTGGCTGCACCGCGACTTGTGCGTTCTCGGCCAGACAATGTTGCGCTGTGGCCCCAGGCTTCAGATGGAGCGTCCCGCGCTCCCGCCCGAAGCCCGACGGGCGGGTGAAGCAGCTGCGGCCGATCCCCAAGACCCAAGACCTCCGTTTCGAGAGGCGCACACGCGCCGTCCCGACACAATCGCTTGTGGCCACGTCGCAGGGCTGGTCCCTTTGGGCTGTGCTGTTGGCTTGCGGTGCTTTGGGCCAGGTGTGGCTTCTTTTCGAACCCGTTTTGTAGTCTCCATCGCACCATTTTGTTCGTGTCATCCTCGGGCCCACCCAGGTCTCCTGTGTTGGGCTTTGTTTGGCATGCCAGTGTGAAGGCCGTTTTCGACCAACGTGGAATTTGGAAAGCCCATCCTGAGTATGTTGTACTGCACCATTGGTGGTAGACAGTGAAAGGAGTGCCTGATCTTGGCAATGCACAGTTGCAACATGCGCACTCAAACTTCAAGACATCTCTGTGAAGCCCCCCAACTGGTACACTGGAAAAACTCTTCTGGAGCTAGGACCATTGGCGTTTGTGCACGTGAGATCGCAATGCCCCCTGCAGTGCAAGGGGTTGCTTTGCTTATGTTCGTGCCCTATCTCCACCTGTCAAGCAAATCTGTGAAGCCCAACGCAACAAAACCATGCCATGTGACCACCAGCGCAGTTCCAGCAACGAAACCTGATGAGAGCACCCCTGACAGGCGCTCCATTTCTATCTGTTTGCTTGCACCAGGCAGATCGTGGGCGAGGGCCGCTTGGGCAGATGGCTGTCAGGACCCCTTGCGACGATGGCCGCTGCTTTGCTGCTTTCCAGCTTGGGCCTGCTTCCCACTTGGTGTGCTGCATACGACATTGTGTGTGACTGGATTGTACCTGCAGCAGCCGTGATGTACATGTTGGATGCTGATCTGTCAAGGTAAGAGCGAGTGGCCCACTGCGCTGGGCAGGGGTGAGGGGCCCGCTCTGTGTCTCTCGCACTCTGGTGCTGTGCAATTCGCATGTTTTGAGGATGGACAACCTTGCTGTTGAGGCACTGAGTGCCTGACATGTGAAGCGGTGTTGCCAGGCTGGGGCAGTTGGAGAATTTTGCTATGCTATTGTTAATATTGATGGCAGATAGTAATGCCATCTGCAAGTCTCGAATAGACGAGACAAAGAGCTGCAGTGGTGTGTGTTTTCTGTTTTTTGAACATGGTTTGCTGTCCTCCAACATTTATCTGCACAGCCCTGATTGTGCAGCATGGAGAATTTCTCTTCAGAATATGCAGCAATGTTGAAGCAGCCAATATTGGAGGACTGTGGCATAACTCAGTGTAACATGATTCAAAGTTATGGAATAATGGCATCGATTGTTCCAGGCTTGCCAGTACTGGTGGCGCTACACTGCTGGCCTTCATCCTTGGGGCAGCTGGAACTGTGATCGGCACATTGCTTGCTTGGCAGTGTGTTGGACCCAAGCTTGGCAGTGAAGGATGGAAGGTGGCATCTGCACTTTGTGCAACGTACATTGGTGGCGCGATAAATTTCGCTGCTACTGCAAAGGTGATCGCCAATGTCTGCAGCGAGAAGTGAAGGGCCCACTGACGAAACCCACCGGCTTGCCTCCTTGTTCTATTTTGCTTGGATGGTGGCAAAAGGGGAGTTCTGGCTGTTCCAGATCCGAGTGATTGTGCCATTGCGTTGGACCAATTGTTGCATCATCAATGTCAAACAACTGCATTGTGCCTAGTCGCATGCTGTTTTGGGTATCTTGGAGAGCAGTGGCTCAGGCGAATTGTCACGGCCACTGCAAGTGCTTTGTGTGTCTCCAGTTGTATTTGCAGGGAATCTTGATGGGCTGGTGCATAACAGTCACAATGCTTACATTTGACTGCACTCAGCTGATCTGAGTGGCATGCGCACGAAACATGGGAATATGCTGTCACCAATCTGGCAGCATCAGGTGTTGGGGGCTTTGCTTCAAATGTACTGTTGGCTATCAGGTACTTTGAAAGCCTTGCCTGTCTATGCTGTATGTTGGTTGCAGAATGCTGCAGCTCAGCTAGAGGTGCTGTGTTGCACAACTGGGTTCCCATAATCCACTGGCCCACCTGTCCGTTAGCAGCTTTGTGGCAAGTATTCCTTCAGTGTGAGGACACTGTGTGCGATTAGCTAAATCATAGTAGTCACCAGTGCATTCTAGTCCTGATCCACAACTGGGAACAATTGCATCTTTTTCAGAACAGAAAATGATTCCAAAAAACTCAGCAGACATATGCTGCAGGATATGTGCACTCTCAGATGTGCGTCCACAGAATATGTGGACATATGCTGCAGGATATGTGCACTCTCAGATGTGCGTCCACAGAATATGTGGCATATCCATCTGCTATATCATGTAAAATTCTTGCTGATTAATGTGGTGACACTGGGATTTCAAGCTTTTGCTGGAGACTGCATCAGAGATATGCACACTGTTGATTGAGTTGTTTGGGAAAAGTAGGACAACAAGAAGGAAATCATCAGTGGAGACCTCATGTGCTGCTGTGCATGCTTGGGATTCCATTCGTGGCGGTGGTTGTTCGCTGTGTGCGTCTTCCCTGGGCCTGGGGGATGACTCTGCACTGAAGTGTCCAATGCAAAATGCACTAACACAGTTCCGCTGGCCTATAGAGTGCTGTAGTGCATTGGCATTCCAATTGTTTCTGCTGTTAGGTATGTGGATTTCCTCATTTGTTTATTCACTTCCAATTGATCAATACTTTGGTCCAATTCGTGTGTTGCTGTTTACTTATCGTTTGTTCACTGTGGACGATGCAGGCTCTCCATCTTTCCACAGGTGCATTGCTTCTATCTGCGATTGCGGCCGACAATGTTGCCATGGGTGTCTATCTCGCCATAATCTCTGCCATCCCTGCCGATGACGTCACAGTGTCCCCCATGCTCCACTCGCAGCCTCCATCAGCTCCAGAAAAAGGGGAAGCCACTCCCCGCTCTCTGGCAGCCACATTGGCCATGGCCGCCACATGCTGTGCCCTGGGCTCGCGTCTTGCTGAGCTAATGGGATTCCCTGCTGTAGCACTGGCAGCAGCAACTGCAATTGCATCTGTTGTACGGCCTGCTGCAAAGGCCATGTTTCCAGGGAGGCGGACATCCGAGGTTTTTGCTGGTGAGTGTTATGGAACAGTGGGATGTTGTTTATGCAGCCTTGCTTGCCTTTGCCGCTGCCACGCAGTGTCCTTGCCCCTAGGTGGTGGTGGGCGCTGGGAAAGGTCATGTTGATGCAGCATCTGCTGCCGCCCTGCAAATAGACTGCTGTTGCAGCCTGCCTATTATTTTCATAGCATGTCCAGCTGTGTCTGGAACTTCCGTGGCATCTACTTTGTTTGGATATCAGGCTGCCATGTTCTATGACCATGTGGGAAGCTGACTATGGAATGTTGAAATGTGAGCGGCACTTAAATCCCTGGAAAGTGGCCCCCACAGTTTGCAAGACGTGTGCAATACTCTCCCAATTGTCAAAGTTCCTGCGGTCGCGCTGGTGTGTGCAAAGGCAACAAGTGGCCAGTTATCAAGTCAATGTGGACAGAGTGTACCGTGGCCGTTGTGATTCAGAATCGAATGTGCGCTCAAGCTTGCAATTGTGACCTCGTTTCTCTGCCTTGTTGATCCTGGGTCCTGTTCAGGGAGAAGCAGTATAGGATGGCTTTAAGAGCTGTGGCACCAGGGAACCAATGTGAAACCTCCAGCACCAAATTCTCTGAAGGGCTTGGCAATTGCAGGGGTGCCTACTTCACATGTGTGGGCCGCCCGATTGCACAGCAGCCTCTGAGCAAAGTATCACCAGCGAATATGGCATGGCCGTTGAGACCCATGCACTGCTGGGAATCCGTCCATACTCCCTGCGCGGTTGTTGTCAGGTTGTTTCGTCCTCCAGCGGTGCAGTGAGGCTTGTGACACATCGATGCAGGTGGTGCTCTCGCGCTTTGCACCGTCACACACACCACGCCTTGCATCCTCCCCATCATCGCCTTCAAGGGCGCAAGGGCAGTGCTTGCCAGTTTGTTACGAGCTATTCAACAGACAAAGCTAACTATCAAGAGTTACATGAAACTTTGGAAGAAAAGAAAATATAAAGAAGCAATCAAGAAACGGCTATTTCCTTGCCTCAACCTGCTCATTAGCTGGCTTCTTCTGCTGTCAGGTGCTCCAGCGCTTGGCAACGTACTCATGCTCCTCTTCTTTGCCACCGTTGGTGCTTCGTGTGGCTGCATTGGATCTGCCCTCACCACTACCCCATGGCTGTGCACCTTCATCCTCCTGCAGCTCCTTGTCCACACCGCCATCATCATCGGTGGTGGCAGAGCCATGGGTTTGCCGATGCAGGCGATCCTGGTGGCCTCCAATGCCAATGTCGGGGGACCAGGCACTGCTGCGGGCACAGCGGCTGCACGCGGTTGGCCACAGATGGTACAGCCTGGTGTGCTCACAGGCAGCCTGGGCTATGCGATTGCCACGTTCATTGCTTGTGGGATCTCAGTCCTGCTCCAGTAGCTCTGAACGCCTCTGCTCCTCAATTGGCACCTCCTTGATGTCTGGGTACCAGCTCGCTACGTGGTGGTGAATACTTCAAACTAAAAATGTGGACGCATTGTGCCCAGATGTTCGCCAATTTGGTTAAGGGCTTTGTCGTGCGCAACGGATGTTAATCGCAAATTGGCGCCCGCAACACCTCGAGGAGATGCCGCCGTGCACCTGTCTTGCATGTCGCCCTCTCCCAAGCCGCCGCCCAAGTGCGACCAGCGCCCACCCAGCACACGCGCGCTTTACAAAGCCTCCAGAACGCGGCTCAGTACAGCTTGATCTTACGGGTGAGCTCCTTGCGCACCGCCTCGCTGACTTCATTCCCGCGCAGGTCCGCCGCAAGGAACCCCTCGCTCCTCTCAATGGCCTGCCCCAGCGAGGCGGCCCCCGCGTCGCCGATGCCGTTCTGCCTCAGGTCGACGGCCCTCAGGGACGGGCTGGCGGCTATGGCGTCCGCCAGCTTGGCTGCGCCCTCGTCGCCCACGTCGTTCCGCCTCAGGTTCACCTCCCGCAGCCTCCCGTTGTGCCTTAGGGCCCAGGCCAACATGCCCGCGCCCTCCGCCCCCAGCGCGTTGCCCGCGGCGTTGAGCACCGCCAGCGGCGCCCCACGCTCGGCGGACAGGGCGTCCGCGATGCGCAGGAAGCCGCCGGCGGTGATCCGGTTCCACGACACGTCCAGCGCGCTGAGCGAGCGGCAGTCTCGCAGCAGTCGCGCCAGCTGGCCGGCCCCACCGTCGCCGATCTGATTCCCCTGGACGTCCAGGACCTCGATCCCCGGGTGGCCCGCGAGGGCGCCCGCCAGCATGGCCGCGCCGGCGTCGCCGATGTCCGAGGACATCACGTTGAGGACCCTCAGGGCGGGCGTGCGCGACAGCAGCGAGCAGAGGTTGGGCAGGTAGCGCCTGTCGCCGTCCTCCATCTTGTCGATCGTCAGCTCGGACACCACGCCGTTGTGCGCGCCCACCAGCGGCAGGCGCGTGTCCTGGCACCACAGGAAGCGGACCAGCTTCGCCCAGCCGAAGCCCCCCCGCCGCTTGAACACGTACACCTTGGTGCCGTTCCAGGCGATGCTGAAGGCGCTGGCCGCGAAGGCCACCCCCAGCTGGCGCTGCGACACGACCCCCCGCACGTTGAAGAACATCCACACCTGGAACAGGCGCAGCATGCCCTGTGTCGTGGCTGGTCTCGGTGGGTGGGGCAATGTTCTGTCCAGCTGAGCTAACAATCATCAATGATATTGGTGGATGTGAATATCAGTCAACCCAGAACGCAATTTTACTGTGAATGCCTTGCGTGGCGATAATTCGTAGCACAATACCGGGCAGGAAACAACTGACATCATTTTGATGAGAACTCTACGTGCAGAAAAAATAATCGCCTGATCAATGCAGAATGTGTGTGGTAAGTATAAATGCACAAAATGGCAATAATGATAACAGTACTAGTGGTATTAACATTATGGACATTGACAGTACTTTGTGAGGAACTCCCTCAATCCAGACCTGGAGGAGTAGCTGTGGAAATGATTCCATGATGAGCTCGATGGCGCCCCTGAAGAAGGTCCAGGCCATGGCCTTGTTGCGGCGGTCCATCTCCCGGATCTCGCTCTGCTGCTCCACCGGGTTGACATACAGCGGCTGGGACACCAGCGAGAATGTGGCGTGCTTCTCATCGCCCAGGACAGCGATCCTGAGGCCATCGTCAAGACTTGTGTACACAGACGCCGAGCATGGGGCGGTGACAGCCACTCGGAGGGCATTGCACAAGCCATACAAGGAGGTCTTCAAGTCGAAGTATATCACCTGAACATTGCCTTTAAGGTAGTCAGATCAGAGGCAGGCACGTCATGCAGCATGCAGGCCCATCGTGAGGGAGACCCTTGGGAATCCCATGTGCCAAAGGTGCAGTGTGAATACTTTTATTGCATTTGTCTGAAATGACAAACACAGCCCTTGCATCTGCAAGGCAATGATATGGGCTTAGGTCTGCTCAAGGACTGTGTCGAGTGTGATCGCCATTTGTCATCTCCAATGCTATTAGAGTCCTGCCCTCCAATTTGTCAGATCTGGCTTGCTGCCCTCCTAGACAAACATTGCTCAGTTGTTCTGCAGCCAGTTATGTGGCTGATGTGTCTTCAGTTGGCCCTGCATGTACTTCATTGTATGCTTGTTTACATCGTCTACAGTACATCCTGACAACACACATTGTTGAGCGATGCACAACGCCGAGGCTGGCTCCTTTGTGTGTTGTGTTTGACCGGATACGATAAGCTCTGCCAGGCTGTCAAGGGCCCTTTACCTGGAATGGTCGCCACCACATCTCCTTCCAAGAGCCCGATTTAGCCCACCCGATGACTGGATACTGCAGGGCCATGAAGGCTGTCGACAGCACTGCCAATAGCGTCAAGCCTCTCTTGAACAGGGTCATGCTGAGGGCAACATCTGTGGCAACATCCAGTAGGAGGATGGCATGGGGCAGTTCGACGGCCAGAACAGACACAACATGGGCAAGCACTGGATGTCTGCTCCGGAACTGATCGGAAAATGCCTGCATGCATGATAGCATGGTAAACAGCGAGTTCCAGGACAAAGAACTCGATTTTGGGACCTGTAGACCACAAAGGGGGATTCAGCAGGTTATGTCAGTGGAGGAAATGGAAGAAACTTGGAATCGAATAACACCTGAATGGGTGGGTTGCTTCCACTTCCTTTTGCACATGGGTGCTTTTGCATCGCCGACAAGACGCCCATTCAATTCAATTGCTTGCTGCTTTCGAGAAGCAATGGGTGCTGCTGGGCAGTGACTACATTTTATCTTTGCTGCAGCCGTCAGTCCAGGACCCCCACTCTCTGCAGACCCAGGACAGCAGGAAGAAGGACAGGTGTCCATTGAGCCATTCATCCCCTGGTGGTAATTTGACAACTCCAGAGGGGCTGAAATCAAACTCGCAAGCGACAACAATCAAATAATATGCCAGCGACAGATCAACTGCCTGCAAGTGCCCAAGCACAGTCAACAGCAGAGGCATCTGGGCGGCATATGCGTAGAGCTGTGACGGGAGATTGACTGTTACCGGCCTTAATAGACGCAAGCAAACAACGCCATCCACGTGTCCAAAATCCTTGCAAGGGGCTAGTTTGCGAGTCCAGCAGCACGATCTGCTGCGGTTCTGATCGCTTGCCGTCCACATTTCACCAACCCCTCCGCCACACAGTTTTGGCGCCCAGTGTCACTGATGCCGCTTCATCGACTTTGCGCCGATCGACGAAGAGCACAGACTTGTGGCGGCGGTGGGCCCCAGCGCAGACGCAACAAAGACGACGGAATCCATGCCAGGATGGGACGAGGGTTGCACGATGCGAGTCCAGCAACGACATGCGCCGCGCATGCCATCTGCCGATCGGGCGGGCTGCCGATCGCAAAAACTCACCGCAGTGCCAAAAGGAGATCGCCGGCAGCGCGTCGCGCACCGTCGATGCCGCTTGTCGGTGCTCGTCGCGGCGGCAAGAGCGGGTCAAGCGCGTGGAGGCGAGCGTCCGGACTTGCACCTGTCCCGCCGCTGTCCAGCGGGACAGATGTCGTCCTCACGGTTCGTGTCCACTATTGGCATGCATCGACGAGGGGCAATTACGTAAGCTTCGTGGTGGCACCGACCTTCCCCCACCCTCCCAATCACGCTCACCGCTTTGACGTCGACCGCAACTGAATTGCCGCGCTGTCGCCCCTTGCGACATTTCTTCAAGGAGTGGGACACACAAACACGGGATTGCCGAGGCCCACGATTCATGAGGGAACCAAACCGACGGCTCCGCCATTCTTCACTCATTTAGGGGTCTCTCATCACTTCTTCGCCAGGCTCTTGCTCCCTCATTCATGGGGAAGGGCCATTCCGCTTGACTCAATTCATTACATTCCCTGAAAGGAAGTTGAAATCGCGTTCACAGACACACCCTCATGCCATTTTCTTTCCCTCGTTTTCCTTAAAATAGCGGTATGTATGTGTTGCAGACGGACGGTAAAAGGAGGCCATCGCGCCGCGGCGACCACGCCATCGGCAAGGCCGCTGACGGCCCGTTCCTGCTTGCGACCAGGTCCAACGGCACGCAGGCCTGGCTGTGGTCCATGACCACCCCTCGAACCGGCCACGACGTAAGGCGCTAGCCAGGGACAGCGTTCTACCCATTCGCGCGCTCCCACTGCGGGTCAAGCGACTCGTTGCACGTCAGGCAAACTAGCAGCGCACGGTCGGGCCCGACCTTGTAGCCTGGGCTACAAGGTGCGCGCTCAGAGCACTCCGTGCAATATGGCGACTTGTCATGCAAATGACAGATGTGACACACTGCCAGGGCAGTGTATTGTGCACAACATGCTTCAAATTGCCCACCAGTACTCTTTGCTTGCATTGGAGACGTGTCGCTATGCACCAATACGTCACACTGGCCTTTCAACCCCAGGACATATGCCAAATTCCCCAAGTTATTCCCAAATGAGCAGTACTACGGGCACACCCCTAGGCCATGACAGCGATGTTAGCAGCACGTCAACCATCCATCAATGGCTATTGTCATTTAACATGTAATGCCCAGCATGCAGTATCCTATGCTCATCGAGCCCAGAATCTCTTTTCCAAGTTGCAGGTTGCCGCATACTGAATCAGTATTACTGATGCAATGATCAACCATTCTCAAGGTTGGTAATTTCATGGAGAAAAGGCAGCATTCTGCCAGCCTTCCTCTCCCTTTTTAACTGCCTTCCATGACAGATGTTCCCTTCAGCAGGTTGCGCTCAACCACTTTTGAAAGCATATTCCTGTCATGAACTGGCCAGCGTTTCGTCTGAAAATACCCTTTTTCTCTTTCTTATCGTCAGCGAATATCACAGCAGCAACCCTTTTGAGTTGCGTGGCCGCATGATTTCAAGCTTGACAGTCACATTATGCCCGTATTAGGGCTGATGTCCCCAACAGCTTACACCAGGACCTATGTTATCATCATGTCCATCGTGTCAGGCTGCAGATCTTTAGGCTGGATATTGCGTAAACTCTAGTAACGCAGCCTCATGTTTCCTTTCCGTTCACCCTTATACATTGTCCACACATCAATTGCTATTTCTTCAGCCATGCGGTTCACCTCGCGTATTAGCGAAATTGATATATGTTCATGTAGGTCCTTGTAATTTACAGTAGGTCCTTTTATGCATGCTTTCCTCGCCCAGCTCTTGCCCATGTGTCCCGCCGACATCCTTGGGGTGAATGTTTCAGGACGGTCTATTCGCGCACGGATTGTCCTTTCTTGGTCAGGTTGCTATGCAGATTGCAGTTACAAGGCCCAACATCCAAACAGCTGTCAAGTCCAAATCGTCATAGCTGTTTTTAAAGGCAACATCAGTATCCGTTAAGTCCAGACTTCCGGCTCTGCCTGCTCAAGAAATAAAACATGTCGCCCTCTTGAAAGATTCAAGCGGTCGTGCTTACAAGCAGTCGAGATCTAGTCAAATATCCTCAATGCTCTTCAGAATGTTTATAGAAGGGCAGCCACGGGAGGATGGTGGATTGTCTCATTGTATCCTAGGCCATTCTTTTACAACCATCGCCCAAGCAGCACGTTAGCCACCAAAAACCGTAAAGGTACAACGACCATCTGATGTTCTTTTGACGCATCTCCCTTGCGCTTTTTATGCAACACACATCTGTTTCTTTCTTCTCTCCCTTCTCTCCTCTTTCCCTTTTCAGCCTGACTGGTTGCTTGATAGTGGCCCAGTCAGCTGTCTATGTCGGTCATGAGCCCGCCTTTGATGTACCGGTGCTCATGACTAACGATAGTTTCGACAATGTGTTGATTTCGGGATATTTGGGTATAATAACGAAGTACTCGTTACGAATCTTGTACCAGGATCCTTCGAAAAAATTGATATCCATTGTATCAACAGATTCCATCTCTTGCTAGGTGGCATATGACCCCACATATCTTGTGATAGGACGGGGGAGCCACCTGGACACTGAAACGTGATGCAATATTTGTGCATCATAAGAAAACAACACATTGTCCATACATCAGACATGATTGAATCTTGGACATCAATCAGTTAACGATGTATGCACCACGTTGTCTCGTCGTCTCCAATGCAGTTGTGCAGAGCATCTACACACATTGTCATGTGCGCACCCAAAAACATTCACCCTGCATGCACCCGGCAACGTGGTGTGACGTAAGACGCACGACCTTTCAGCTGACGTGGCGTGATGCATACGTGACATGGCGCATTCATGATATGCATAAGCATTGCACATCTAGCGTACTTTCACGTCAATGGTGTAATGCCTGTTTTTGACAGTATCGCTGGCGGTCAGCGATCATCTTGAGATGCCCAGAAAACTGCATCGTTCGGAGCTGGCCCTGGTGGCGCCACTAGCGGTTGGCATATCCTCACGCACTAGGTCAATAGCATGTGACCACGAGTCACGATCACGGGTGTCAATGAGTTACCGAATTCGCCTCATTGTGCACGTGCACGCAAAATGGGGGGACATTTTCTGTGTTCATTGAGGCCATAGCTTGCAGGGAAGAAAAGCGTTCCCAGCTGTGTGTGAGTCTTTCCGTTTGGCAAACTATGGGCCATGCAGCCTTTGCTGGAACGCAGATTTCATGCCACTGATTGGTCGCTTGCTGCAAGGATTGAGCAATGATCGCATTCATCACCCCGCCGCGACATAGTGCTCTGCCAGCACCACTAAAACAGTGTTTGGTGAAATTGGCACATACTCAAATCCCCCCATTGTGATCAACCGATATTTTATCGCTGTTAAAGAAGGCGGCCGCCCAGCGTGACATGGCCCCGTTTCGACATGGGATGTTTTATCACACGATCCTGTGCAGCTCAGCGCGGTTCCAGCACTATCAAGCTCTCCGCAGCCCAGGGCTGTTCATTTGGATGGCGCGGATGCTGCAGCAATGTACCAAACCATTGTGCAGTACGGCAAACCCTCAAAATGCGTGTGTCATTTAAAATTTGGAAGGCAATGTAGGCCCTCATGTAATGACAGTCCAAGCACTGATGAATCCAAACGACAGCTGCTGCCAACACCAAACACCTCCCAGATCCCTGTCGACAACCGTGGTTCCCCGTAGCTTCCCCTGGGCACCCACATATCCCAGGACATGTACCTACTAAGAGCGTACCGACATGCACCCCTGTTTTTTTCCGCAAGAAGAATATCCACCCACACTAATCCAACAAGCTCCCAACTCACTGTGAAGCCTGCCCATGCACAGTCGAAAAATAATTCAGTGATACTCAATCTGCTTCCTACCAGACGAGCGGCAACTCTGTCATATCGACGGCCACATGGAGTTTGGGCGCCCCTAGCACCATGATCCGATGGCAGCCCCCTGGCAAGATAGCATTGCCTCCAGCGTTGCCTGCAGGGAGGAGGGTGGGAATTTTCTTGCGAACAGGGCACACTGGTAGCTGAGAGGACGGTATCCGCGCTGCACCACCTGTGGATTGGGCGAATCGAATCGCTGCATTCAAAATGGACTGCGAATCACGAGGAAAAAATAATGAGT